TCATCGTCTAAGAGGACAACAGAACGTAGGATATTTCTTTTCGTTCTATATCACATCTATGAGATGTAATGCGGTAACGAAAGGGTTAAACCTGATCGTTTTTTTTATTGAACAAAAATGATTGATATAGAATAATACACAATCTCACGAACTAGATGATAATCGATTGTTTACGGAAAAAGGATTGACAAGAAGTTAGTGATCATCCAAGTAGTTTTAAAAAACGTTCATTTAAAAAAAATATTCTTGTCACACCAAACAATAGTACACATTATCACATCGTTACATATTCTTGCTGAAATGCACAAATTGGAAATCGACTTATACGAAGGAATTTTTCTACAGAAAAAAATACTTATTTTCTGACGTCAAGTAAATCTTACATTTTCTAATTTAAGCCACAAGGCTAACTAATAATTAATTTTTCATGCGAAAATATGGAATATGTATCATATAAGGGCGCCATCTCTTACGATTAATGGCATTTTTTAAGCGCTACATGTTCAAAAGTAAAACAGCCAATTGGCACATTAGGATATTTCGGCCTTCGGCTTCGGCTTCGGCCAATTATCAGTACCCAATGACCAGTCAAACTATTGTAAAGTAAAAGAACGAGAAAAAAAACAGAACGCAAAAAAGCACACGTTTTTGTAACGTCGCTGAATAACATAAAGACAGATATATATTTATGTATATCTCGACATTTATCCCACGAATAAAAACTGTAAAGTAACATGTAATAAACTATATTTAGCGTCATGCTTAACTAAAAAAAAGACACAGAAAAAAAAGACTGTTATCAACATTTATTTTTCAAGTTTTACAATAACAATGGCAAATGCTATTAGTTTTTTCATAAATAATATAATGAACAATATTATTTTAGCACTACAAAATGGTGATGCTACTTCAGATGACTCTGAAGCCGACCAACAAACTGAATTTATGCATGAAGATAATACGATATGGAGTGCTGTATATAATGCAGACAAAATTGCAATTGATCATTTCATCGATGCTGATCCTGATCTTATTAATAAAAGAGGAACTTTTGGTGAGTGCCCTATTCATGTGCTATTTCGACGTGGAACAGATGCACATTTTGATATTGCTCGAGATCTTATTCTACGATTTCCAACGATCGTAACGCAAACTTATTATAACTCAGTAAATACATTAGATCGATTTTTGTATTTGAATGATACATATAAATTTTATAGAAATATCATGGTGAGAATATTCTTCATATTGCAATTGTTCAACGTAATCCAGCTATAGTTGAATGGCTACTTAGTAATGATCATTTAGAGCCCTATCGTCAACAATTATTGACAGCAAGAACTACCGGTAGCTCCTTTAAAATGTAAGGTATTTCTCGTTTGTCTTTTACTTCATATGTTTATTTAATAGAGGTGGAATATCTTATTATGGTGAAGTTCCATTAGGGTTTGCTTGTTGTACCAATCAATGGGATATTGTTGAAATCTTACTCAAATATGGCGCTGACATGGATGTGGTTAGTGAAGAAAAAAAAAATTAAATCCTACATGTACAAAGTTAAGAAAAATAAATCTTTGAGCTAGAGATATTCGATACCAACTTTGTTTTTAGTTCCGATTTAGATAAATATATTCCAGAATTTATTTGTAGTATCTAAAAGCCAACTCGCTTAGGGTAATAAATTTTTTAACTATAATCTTTAGTTCTCATTGAGACATATGTTTTTCGCGCAGTGTCAATCCCGATTTCCACTAAAAAGGTACTTCCATGTTTTATAAATTTTCGATATTCTCGTGCACGAACCAGCCCATACTTCTTGACCTAGGTACACGGTAAAACTGTCATTTGATTTCTTTATATTTATATCTAGACAGACAGTAATGGTAATACCATATTGCATATGCTTGTTATTTGCAATTTACCCAAAATTTATGCTAAATTCAAAGCTCGTTGGATAGAACAACAGATTATTCATAATGGCGAGAAAAGAACTGATTCAAAATTAACAGAACTACCAGAATTATGGAATCGTTTAAATAAAGATGGTTTAACACCATTGACTCTAGCAGCTGATTTAGGTCAAGCTGAAATGTTATCATGGTTACTAGAAGAACGTAAAAGAACACTATGGTCTTTTGGTAATATTTCATGTGCAGTACATCCTCTCAATCAACTTGATATTGATTTTTATCAAGACGTGAGTTAAACTCTCATAGAAATATTTTTATCTAGTGTATTTCTATTTAAGAATAAAGAACGATCTCTTAGTGTACTTGAAATAATGATTAAAAAAAATAATGCAGAATTAATAAATCCTATAATTGTATCTTTAATTGACAAAAAATGGAGATCTTTTGCTTATCGAATATTTGTTCGACGCTTTTTTATTATATTTCTCTATCTTCTTGTTTTTCTTGTCACAACAACTTTACGAGAAACAAGATCAGAAAAAGTAATTTAACAAAACATTTTTTTTAACTATAAAATATACATATATATATGTATATGTTTAGACAGCGAGTGAACTCGATGAAAAAACAGGAATAACAAATGGCAAACGTTGTAGTATTTTTGATCAATTCCTTTATTCAGTCGGTCATATCATTGTCATAATAGGTGCTGCATTGCGAAGTGCATATGAAATAAACGAAATGCGTAGATTGGGTTTCCGGAATTACTGGAAAATTACAGTAAATGATTAATTGTTTTAGATTTAATTGATTAATATGAATGCTTTAGGAGTCTACTTTTCTTGGAAATTGTTTGATATCTTCATTTTGTTTTTGTATTTTTACTTGTGAAATTCTTCATCTATTTGAAATGCAACAATATGAAACTCAACTACTTGCTTTTACTTCTCTTATTGGATGGGGTCGTATGCTTATTTTTATTATGCCATTTCAATTTACTGGTCCATTTGTTATTATGATTTATAAAATGTTATTCAATGATGTTCTTCGTTTTTTTATAATATATATAATTTTTCTTGCTGGCTTCGCACAATCATTTTGTATTTTATTCAATGGATATGGTAAAATTTTTCAAAGGATGAATATTTCATTTATAGAGAAAATACTTTAGAAAACTTAATTTATAAGGAAATTATGATTCTAAATAAATGATTTTGATATGTTTTAGGTTTGCAAGGCTATATGTCAAGTATCAAACTATGTTTTCTGGGTTTATTGGGTGATTTTGATCTTGATTATTATATTGGAGGAGAATATCCATTGACAAGTGTTATATTACTTATCTTCTATGTTGTACTTATTACTATTCTTTTGTTAAATTTACTTATTGCTATGATGGGTGATACATATGCAAATGTAAAAAGAAGTGCTCAAAAATTATGGTTTGTTTTATTTATTTCGATCTTGGTGGAAAACGTAGAAAAGGAAAACGCAGAAAAGGAAAAAGTAGAAAAAAAATAGTCGAAAGGAAAACGTAGAAAAAGAAAACGTAGAAAAGGAAAATATAGAAGAGGAAAATATAGAAAAGGAAAACGTCGAAATGATCAATGTTATTTTTTTGATCAGTGACAAATATATATATGCTTTATTAATTTAAAATAAAAAAGATGAAAGAAAATGACAATATGAATGCATCTAATTTTTTTTCTTTCCAACTAACAGTGATAAACCTGACAAAAGTTCAGTTGCGTTGATTTCCTTCTTCAGATATCTGTTGTGCAAAGTATCAAATCTCATTTGAAAAGCTATTGTTTTTTTTGATTGTTTCGGTGCAGATGCACCAGCTTCAAGTTGAACTAAAATATATACAAAACGAGCATGTTCACTTTGAATTAGTTGAATGAAACTCCAGATGTTTGGGTGTTTTTTTGATAATCGAGTTGCAAATCGAAGATTATAAGCTAAAATATAAGTATCGAAGGACAAGCCCTTCGAAAAATGAAAAAATCAAGATTAGCAGTTTATTTACCTTCAGAAGTATTATTTGTACGATGAATGACATCATGGAAGTTCCACATTTCGAGCGGAACAACGCCATACATCCACTGATGTTTAAAATATAATAATAATTCACCTAATGCTGGTGACGTCGTTGTTTGTAAGCGTTGAAATTGACTCTCAACTTGATCTTTTGGCAGCAGACTTAACGCCATCAGCTGCCGACATTGATCACGAACTGTTTCATCATGTAAATATTCAGTTGCTAAACCTAAATCTTTAATTTTCCGGTGTATTGCTTGATGAAGATGGAACATACATCCATTATGAATTGAACCAGGAAACTAATTAATGAAAAAAATCTCTTACATACGCTGAATACGTATAATAGAGATAAAAACACTCACTTCTTGTTGAACAATAGGCAACATAGCGGGTTCATAATCTGATACAATACGTTGAGGACTAAATTGTTTTCCCATAGCAGTTGCTTGATCTTTTAGTAGTTCAAATAATGTTGTATATGTTTTACCACGCTTGTTTGGCAAAAGACAAGATGCAGCTGGTAATCCTGCAATACGAGAGGGTAAATATATGTATTAAAGATTTTATAACTGATCTATCACGTACCTTAACCGAATTTATGAGCATGAAACAAATACACTTGCTTAAATTGACCGGGTGAGGTATCAAAAGTACCATCCATGAAAATTGTATTACTCTCGAATAACAGTTCTAGTTGTTGATCACTTGAGAAAATCAAAATACGATTTTTTCCACGTTTTAAACATACATCTGCAAGTAAAAATCGTTTGTGTGATAATGTTTGTTGATATAGTTCTGGAATTTCGAATATTTCAGATGATGGTATTACAGGTGTATTTTTTCGTCGTGCTTTACTCGTGTTAGACCCTTAATATAAAAAAAAACATTTGAAACGAAATATTTCACTAATGTATAGAGTAATACATACTATATTCAACTACAGTTGGTAAAACTGCTACTGCACCTTTGGATAGATTTGCTTTAGCTACTTCTTCATCATATATCCTCGTAATTGATGTTGTTTCACTTATTATACGTTCCTTCATTTTATCTCGTAATAGTTTAGCTTCTAGTTGATCTGGATTGAAAGGATGATTATGATCACCATTGATACATATCATTTCACCATCAATTGTTGTGTGTATATAAACACCACATTCTCGCTCACTGCATAACCAATACTTTTTATTCACTGTAGTTTTATTGCACTTGAATAAGTAATTCTTGTATATTAATAATGGTTTTCCCTTGTTGGTTGTACAGAACGATATATCAAAATGCTGGGCTTTACATGAACTATTTTCAGAATCTAAATTTGTCGTCATTCTCATAATATATCAATTCAATATGTGAAAAATTTCTTTATTCGATCAGAAATATTGCATGTGGAGAGAGAGACCAACGAGAATAAGAATACAGAATTTATTTCTCTAGTGACATCATTCGAATGTATCCGATATTTTTCTTTTCTGTATTTTCCTTTTCGATATTTTCCTTTTCTGCATTTTCCTTTTCTGCATTTTCCTTTTCTACGTTTTCCTTTTCTGCATTTTCCTTTCCACTATTTTTTTTCTACATTTTCCTTTTCTGCGTTTTCCTTTTCTACGTTTTCCACCATCCCCTTTATTTCTATTGCTTCTTTTCTTTTTTATTACTTTACTTTTTTTTTCTAAACAAAAAAGGCACTTAGAACGAGCACGTGCTGCACTTCATTTCCAAAATACCATGCCGAGATCTCGACGTCTATTTCGTTTCAAAAAATATTGGATAAATATAGAGGGTGAACGTTATATGAAAGTGAAAGAAAATGTGAACAATAAACAATTTCAAAGTACAGACGACGAAGCAAATATTGGTTAATACCATCAAGAAAATAGTGAAAAGAACAATTGCTTTTTTTTTTAATGAAAACTTTTTCTTATTTATTTCTACCTTATAATAAACAATATCAATTAACATAGTTTAGTATAGACAATATTTTGTTTTATAACTTTTCAATAGGAAAACGAGTTCAAATAATTGTTGAATATTAAAATTTATTTATTTTATTAAAAACTAAAAAATAATCTTACGATTTTTTCATATTTCACATGTAAATGAGTCATTAGCTATTAAAATCAGCTGATACTTTATAATTTTGTTTTTCTAAAAACAGAAAGTTTTTAAAAATAAAAAAAAGTCAAAAACTTAATTTTTTTTTATCAAATTTTGGATGTTGAGCATGTAAATTTATTAATTTATCGACATATATTTGATCGGTTGCCTTTGGAAACCAACATTCTTCATCTAATAAACTTAAAATACCCATTTGCTAAAAATATGTACAAAATTAATTCTTTGTTTTTTATTTGCATCATTGATTTACTTTTTCAATAAGATCAATTGTTGGTTGAAGATCAAAAATAAAATTCATAAATTCTCAATCAATACTTTCACAACGATATTCTTCCTGTTCAAGAACAAACATTATACTATGATTAAATAATTGTTGAAACTTTTCATTTTGTATCATTTATATATAACGGTTCAAATGTATTTAATTGAAAAATTTCAAAACCAGCTATATCAAGTATACCAATAAATGATGAATCTTGTCATTTACTTTGATCAAGAGATTTATTAATACGTGCTACAATCCATTTAAACATATGTTCATATATTACTTTTGATATAACTCCAATAGTATAATCAAATATTGAATGTAGAACAAACATGATCAATGTTGTTTGTCATCTTTTTTGTTCTCTTTCAAAATACAGTGAATATATATTCGAGGTAAATTAGTTTTAATGAAATGAAGAGAGTCTCAGAAGATCTTCAAAGGCTTTTTTGATTAGAGATAGAGCATCTCAAATAAGAAGATAAATGTTCGAGAAAACAAGGTTTTCTATAGGACTACATTGGACTCGTTTGCAATCTCTCTCTAGGTTTGTCCGATTGGATTGAAAATTTTTTTAGATTACTTTCGACAGTATCTCAGAAGTAGTTTTTAGCTTTTCAAAAATTTCGCCTTTCTTTTTTAATATTGATAGAATATATATAAGTTTGAATCCAAAGTCTGGTTCTTGGCCGTCAGAACATTATAAATGCGAATAGAAAGATTCAAAATGAAAACGGCCGATTTGACATTCAAAGACATAGATGAAAGGATAATTCTGCCTATCAGCTACCTTGCCGTAAGGACTGATGTCAAACGACAGTTTCAAGATCTCGATACCTGAGACAAAGTTCTTGAGCTCGCCATATACATAAATTAATCACAAGGGAACTTGTATGTTACAATGTAATCAGCATGTTATCAGACAGGCAATCCAAGACAAACTCATATGATTGATTGTGTCGAAGTTCGAACACAGTACTTTGCGAATATATGACAACACAACGTAACCATTCAGCCATGTCTGTCCTAACCACTATATGAATTCATTATTTTTTTTTTCTTCTTGTTTTCAAAACAAAAACCAAACTTAATCTTTTAACTTACTTGAGCTTGTGTTTATACTTTGGTAAAAAAAAATCTCTTCCAACTTTAAGTTTTGATTTTAAAAATGATCGTACAAAATGTGTTACAGAAATACCCAATAGATGACAAACTTTTTGTGCAATTGTATCATCAGATAATGTTGCTTGATCACTATTATGTTCTTATTTAAATTGCATATTATCTATTTATAAAACAGCTAATATTGTGCGAAATATTGAATTTTAATTATCATTTGATATATTCATTATTTGCATAGATTTAACTGTATTTTAAAATTCTTCACCATCATCAACACCTGATATTGTTAGATGACTATGTGTTAAATATCGATAACGATTAAAATCTTCTAATCAGTTTTGTATTAGCACCATGTAATAAGTGATAAAATATATGAAATATTCGTTCTTCTTTAGCTTGATATATTGTACGAGATTTTTCAAGTGAATATCTTTCAATTGACGCATCAGTGATAAAATTCGATGTATCAAAGTTAATACGAATAAATTTACTAAATCGTGATGAATTATCATTTTTAACTGTTTTTGCATTACCAAACGCTTTAATAGGAAAAAGAAAAGTTTTTGTTATTACCTTCAAGAATTGTATTTACTTGTACAATTTGAGCTTCAAGTTCATTTTCGCAAATAAAACTTGAAAAAAAATTCATTAAACGATTATTTTGTTTTGTCTCGACTTGATATTGATTAAGTGTAATCGCCAATTACCGTTGTGAACTTTTTGGTGCAGCAGCAATATAAGCCAAATATTGAATAACTTCTTTTTCGTTTTCAGTTTTACCAGCACCAGACTCATCTTTATAAAAGAGATAGAAGGTTCAAAGCTTTTCTTTTTCTTTTCTCTAAAATCTTAAGTGCATAAAATTGATTGATTCTTACGATTTTATAATATTAAGCGATATACATCATCAGGTGACATGTCTTCAATTTTACTAAATTCTGATGAATTTACAGGTTGGGTGTCATCTTGGGTGTAGATGTGAGTATTTATTCAAGTAAGAGTCATACCCACACCCTTTGTTCTAACAAAACAACTTACTATGATTATAATAAGTCGTTATTAAATCATCGGCTTTTCGTTGTTGACATTCTGCAACCATTCAAAGTCATAAATCTTTTGAACGTTAACAATGAGCAGCAACAAAATTCATCTTGATTAAAAAAGATAAAACTTTCTCCTCAAAAAAAAAAAGAATATTCAATTCATTTACTTCGAATGCTTTATCATGGTCATTGTGATCTTCATAAATTCATGCGATTGTTAGATAAGGTTCAGCAGCATTTAGAACTAATTCAAGAACAAAAAACAATAAAATCAAAATTTTTCTTTCAAATTATTTTTACCATTTGTTATTTCATTCAGGTCGATTTATTTTTAAATATTATATCAATATTTGTATTCTAGTTACAACAAAAACTCATATTTATTCGATATATCCATCCACATTTTTCGATAGTTTTAATGTTTGAAGTTACTAACGGTAAAAACGAAAGCATAAGGATGTAGATATGGATGTTTGTATTCTCTTCATCCACATCCAGCTACTGGAACTGGTGCATACCTACCATGAATATATGAACAAATGCTTTTTGCCAAAACAACATAAAGTTGTCGTATGCTCTGCATATCTTTATCTAATGCGTAGAACATTTCGACATCTAATAGATTGCTTGTAACTTTATATTTTTGAGACTTCAAAGAATAAACATTGATTGGTAATTTCTGATCAATCGACGTGATGATGGAAAATAGTAAAATAGTTTACTAGTATGTTAACGAATCAATAAATGTCCTTTTGAAAACATCTCGGTAGATCGTCTTTTTTTTGTTATTGAAAAATAAAAAAATTCATTGATGGATAAATAATAATGAGTCGTTCAATATCTTCTTTTCAATCATCGTTACATGTGTGATATAAGAGTAGTTAGAAACTGAGCTAATTAATATTAATTTGAAGCGTTGGATTTCATTTGTTTTGACGAGTATTGTATTGTATTGAGAAATTTATTCTGTTGTTTGTCTCAAATTTGAAGCTTCTTTTATATAAATAGCGTATGTGTAACGACAATGTTGACATTGTTTAATTCCGATTTTGTGGAAGAAAAAAAAAAATTCTTTTTTTCTTTGACCAAAAGAAGAAGGATTTTTCTTTCTATTCGATAAGAATTTTGTCGTTCTAAGCAAAACATCATAATGTTATTACAGCTTTATGTTTTTTTCTCAGTTCTTACCAATATCATAAACAAACGAAAAACATCACTCGTATAATATTCGTTCGATTTAAAACACCACACTTTTTTTTTTGGAATCTCTCAACATAAAAATTGTTGACAAACGTCGAGTGTGAAGATATGTAGGAAGTGAGGGAATGATGGGGTTTTAGTTCGATATAAGAACTGTCAGTAGAGAATGGAAAAAAAAACTAACCAGTATATCATTTTGAAGGGTAATAATTCAAAAATAGCATAATATTAATGATAAAATTATCAGTTTAAACAATTTAAAACATCTTTCAATGCCAGTATGATTTAATTATACTTTCTCCAATACAAATGCGTTGTTTAGATTTTAAGACCTTTTGAAAAACTATAATTTTCTAATCACGAATATGATGAATTGAAAAATTCCCCTCTCAAGACTTAATAAATGATGTTTTTTATGCCTATTTTAAACTGCATAAAGTCAGTGTATTTATTTTAGGTAATTTTTGTAGTGATCGTCATCGGCTAACCAGTGAACCTTCCCAAGTGCCAGAGCGCTTTTTAGTCAGGGTTTTGCGCACCTTGTAGCTCATAGTGAGCTATGTCTATGGTAAAAAAAGTTCGGGCCCCTGGCTTGTTTCTGCGGAGATATGGAGCTTCTAGTGAATTTTCTCTATAGTACGCCCACATTGGCATCAAAGCTATACTTTCGAATTTTGATCTGAAACTTTGCCTGAATAAAGGCCTCAGCTAGACTAGTTTGCATAAAAAATTTCAGAAGTTTTGAATAAAGTTTCTCTAACATATGAAACTATCAAGGTACAGTCCCTTTTTCATAAATGATATATATAGTATGCATTTTTTTTCAAAGCTTCGTATCTAGAAGAGACTTTGTCCAAAACTTCTGAGATTTTTTTATTCAAACTAGTCTAGCTGAGGCCTTTATGCAGACAAAGTTTCAGATCAAAATTAGAAAGTATAATTTTGCTACCAATGTGAGCATACTATAGAGGAAATTCACTAGAAGCTCGATATCTCCTCAGAAACAAGCCAGAAATTCGACATTTTTTTTACCATACACACAGCTCACTAAGAGCTACGAGATGCGCGAAATCTCAACTGAAAAGCGCTCCAACACCTACGAATGTTCTCTTGTTAGTCGAAATCTTTCAGAACATAAGATGAAACAAATTCGATCAGAACTAGATTCATTCTAAAGAAATTCATTACTTATAGCTACAGTGTGTAGGTATGGTGCGTGGGTGTTGATAAAGGGAATGCATGCATACACTCACATCCTTATCACAAAATAATGATGGTGAAGCATTAGTTTAAAATTATATTATTGAAAAACAAACAGAAAAGCCTTGGATTCGAGCTATATCAATATTAGTAGAACGAACAACTGTACAATTAATTATGATAGTCCTCCAAGTGAATCGGTTACAATAGAAGATTCATATGATGTTTCAACACAACAATCAGAACCTATTGATATAGATCAATTGATTGATAGATCATGTATACTTTCATAGAAACCATCCATTTGTGATAACGGTAATTCAATTATTCAATATATAATTGAATAATGTTTTAAATCTGAACCATCATTTACATGAATAGGAAATATAACACTTATAACTAGATGTTTTCATAAAATAGAAAATTTATTAACAAATGATGAATGAATATGAATTTTGTATTGTTGCACATAATCAAGCTGGTGTAAGTGCATATTCAAAAAAGCAGAGTGATCGTTTACAAGTAACAAATGAGTGTGGCACAGCAACATCATCTATTGATATTCTGGTTCAGACAGTTCCATCATTACAGATAACTTCTAGTGGTGAAGCTTATGTTAATCTTGTTTCGTATACATGTTCAAAAGATAGTGAAAGTGAACTTCAATAGGTCCATTTAAAAGTAATTCAATTATTCAAACAGATGGTACATTCTCATGATTACCAATAACAAATGATGGTGGTGCAAAAATTACAAGTTGTATTATTGAAAGTAAATATAATAATCAATAAATATGGATACAACCAGAATGTGTACTTGCTTGATTTCGTAGTGTTTCAAAAACTATTATTTTTCTTTCAGAATCTATTAAAAGTGAATCTATTAGATTAAAACGACGAAATACAGTTTCGCATATATTTATGTCATTTTTCATTAGCAATTTTGACATTGACATTTGTACATTAGCAAGTGAAATACCAAAACATACTAGTGCTAAAAATTGACAAACAAATAAAGAATTTTATCATTGAATAATGTATTGATGATAAAGAAATTAACAGCATGAAAAATTGTTGTTGAATCTGATGCGTTTGTAATAAGTATTCACATTAGATATTTAAAAGAAGAAAAAGAAAATTATTTTCATATAAAAGCTGTTAAAATGAATTTTAATCAGACAATGTATTTACAACAAGCATACTACCGGTTATATTAAAATACATGTTGGATGATAACTAGGTGTATTTGGCTGTAACTGTAGGTGTGAAGGAAGACAATCTTGTCACATTCACAATCTCGCATCCCCCACTCTCATTCATTAAAACCATTAGTATTAGAACAATTATTATTCATTTTAAAAAGAAAAAGTCGCTTCGGGAGAATGCTTATAACTTTTGAAGGGAAAGTGATAGAGACCTGCGATTTTCATTGTTGAATAGAGTACAGTGGGGCACGTAATACTATGAAATAAACAGGTCTTCAGGTAAGGTTTACTACGATAAATTTTGAATGGATGTCTTTTTTATTTAATTAATGCTAATTAGAGCCAAAAATTACAGAATGTTAGAAATGAATGTTTAAAAAAACATTTTTTACTCTAGTGCGCTGAAGTTGCAGTCTACTGCTATAGTATAACATCTTTTGAAGTTGATTCAGCTAACTCGAGTTCAAAAATGTTTCCTAAACGTCAAATAAACAATGCCTCAATGTTCAGGATATCTGTTAATCCATATGTCGAGTTTTTTTGGAATTTTTGTCTGTGTATAGATACCTATAACTTCTGAGCTGTAAAAGATACAGACCTGGAGCTGGTCTAGAATTGTAGATCTCAACCCACACTGTATTAATTCCACTATTTGGAAATCAAAATCAAGGATACTCTCCGAGAATGACAACCTCACGAAGTTTGCATTCGAGGATTTACCATTGTAAGCCTTACTTGAAGGTCTTGTCATTTCATAGTAATACGTGCTCTGCCGTGCTCTAGCTAACAATGAAAACCACAGATCTCTATCACTTTCTCTTCAAAAGTTATAAGTATTTTCCCCAAATTTGTATTCTTTTCATTAAACATTATATGACAATGAATTTTTAATCGATTGATAAGTATTGGTTTGTCTTTTTGTTTTTTATACATTTTATTATTTAGTTAACTGCTGTTCATCATTTTGGCAAAGCTTTCGATGAAAATGATAATTCGTATAAAAAAAAATAATCTTTATTAATTTATTTTTTAAAGGCATAAACAATTTCTTTTTATCTTTCATCAGATTATTATTGAAAAATGAATCATTCATTTGATTTGTTTGTTTTTACCTTTCTTTTTAAATTTTTTAATTAAAATCTATCATTAATATATATTTATAGATGAATTAACCAAGCAAGATTCATTGAAAGATAGTCTTAACACATACTCAACGTGTTCATTTGAATGACCTATGAGTGAAATTTAAAAAAAAACAAAAATCTCAAAAATAGAATTACACGTTCAACATGATATTTGGTTACTTTTAGTAGATAAGATGTTCATAAATAAGATTGAAGAATAACAAAAGACTAGAAATTTACATGTTTTAATTTTTAATTACATATCAATATTTCAGAAGAATTGAATGCAAAATTTTTATTTTATAGTCGTCATCAATGTTGTAAGTGAGTCAGAGAAGATTCATTCGTAGAACAAAATAAAAATCATTCTTAATATCTTGACAATTTCTATACTTTATTTTATATTCATTCTTCTTGGAATTTTGATATTCAAGAAGTTTTTTTTTTCTTACCACGTAAACTATAAATGAGAGTCGTGATCCATTTGGTTTTTATTTAGCACAAAATTTTCTTTGAACTTCGTCATTTAATACCGGCAACAATTGATATTATTGTAAAATCATCTTCTTTTCTTTTTTAGTCTTCATCAATATGATGGTCTTGCACCTGATCATCCTGAAGTTAAAAAAAAGTTATGCAAATATTTACGAAAATAGTCGAACATGAACATGTGAAGGAACTACAAGAATTTTATCATACTCTTTGTCTATGGTTCATCTGTTGAACGTAGTTTAAATATTTCTGGTGATACAACATAAGAAAATATTTAATTTTGAGTACAACTTGATCGTACAACAGATCAAACTGTTATAATAGGAATGAGAAATGTAGCATTTTAATTGTTTTTAAAATTCTTCTTTCATCTATTGAAGATTTAGTTAAAATAGATATTAGTGATGTAGTAGTGCTGAATACATTTTATCAAAGTCGAATACGACATGTAATACTTGTTGGTCGACATGGATCAATCTAGGTATTATCATTTACTATAGAAAAAAAAAAATTCGTGAACTTTATTAACTGGTTTACAATCAATGTTAAACAAAGAAGATTTTTATCGAAATATGATTGATAAATTAGAACGATTAAGAAAAAGATTAACCAAATTAATGTTTACAATAGTTTGAATAGGTTCGCTTTTTTTTTAAATTTATGATTATTTTATCTAAAATGATCAAAAGATAAAGCCAATCGATTTTTGGTATTTATAATTTTGGCGTTCGAACATACAGAATCTGTAGCTAGTTGTGATTTTTCTGATGAAATTCTTTCCATCTAATAAAATGAAACTAAAGAAACAATACCATACGGTCTTGTCATTAAAATTATCGATTATGATATCCAAGTAAAGATGAAGAGAATCTTTTTTTTCCCATTGAGTTCAAAAATTCAAGTATTTAATAATCGAAAATGCAATAGAGTGGAAGAGATTATCTCTATAGGAGTCAAGACATGGTCTTGTTCATGTCTAGAGTAGTCATTATGGATGAATGACTATGAATATCATTATATATGTGAGAGATAACATAGTCAAACCTAGATAACGATCTCTAACAATGGAGGGGTTTGTATTGTAAGTCGAAAAAGTGGCACATATTCGGGTCAAATGAAAGCTCTCAACGCCAAACTAACAAGGTTAAAATATTAGCTGCTTATGGCTTGTCTAGAGGGAGATATTTAACTTTTAAGTGTAGATATGCAAATGAATCAGGAAAGGTGTTCTTCACTATT